GTATTTAGGAACGGTTTTAGATAATATTTGTATGGATTGGAATATTCCATTATCTAAAATTCATGCCGTAGTAACAGATAATGCTGCGAACATAGTAAAAGCAGTGGAAATCGTTTTTGGTAAAAATAAACACGTTGCATGTTTAGCGCATTCAATAAATCTTATTCCCGCTAAAATATTTGACAAATTGCCAGATTTAAAAGTACTGATTAATAAAATTAAGTCAATAGTAACTTATTTCAAACATAGTGTTCTAGCGTCAGATGAATTGCGCAAAAATCAAAGAGCTTCGGGAACTTCTTTGAAATTAATTCAGGAGGTTTCTACGCGATGGTCATCTACCTACTATATGATTGAAAGATTTATGGAAGTAATTGATAATGTAAGTGCAGTTTTGATTAATCAGCGCAATTCTCCGCCTATGTTATCTGCGTTTGAAGTAGCTACTGCTCAAGAAATACTCAAAATATTAAAACCGTTAGAAATGATTACTGTAGAAATATCTAACGAAAAACATCCTACAATCAGCAAAGTTATACCTATGATTTATTTATTACGTAATAAAATTAATGAGCTAACTCCAGAATCTGAAATTGGAAAGCAATCAAAAAAGTACATTTTGCAAGAAATTAATGTAAGGTTCAATAATATCGAAAACAACGAACTTTATGCAATTGCAACAGTGCTTGATCTGCGATTTCGTAAAATATATTTTGAAAGTCAATTATCATGCAGTAATGCAATTCATAAAATTAATAAGTTGCTTCAAAACACAAAGAATGAGCAACAAAATATCAACAATAAAACTAATTTACATACTGAAGTTGATCCAACTAGTTTATGGAGTTCTCACAGCTCATTAGTTGCAAAGGCTAATAACTTGATTTCGGAAAATGGATCAGGATGCTTGCACAGTCATCTGAAAAATTATCTCAACCAAGACGCTCTGCCATTACAAGCAAATCCAATAGAATATTGGACTTCGATAGAAAATGCTTGTCCGAACTTAAGTAAAATTGCCCTTAAATACGTGTCTACTATAGCGACATCAGTTCCTTCGGAACGACTTTTTTCGCGCACTGGTAACATAATGACAGACAATCGTAACCGCTTAAAAGGCGATAGGCTTTCTAGATTGCTGTTTTTGAGTTCTCTTGATATAGCAGATTGGCACCTTTCTGATTAATTAATGTTTGAACTGAAGAGTATTTATTTTTATAAATTTAAAATACATATAACGTTTATGCGTATGCACCGCAAGTTTATCAAATGATATTGTTATGTTTTTGTTATGATATTTTTGTTTCATAAAAATGTTTATTTTAAATATTATAATTAAGATAGATATAACTTGTATATATTCTTCTAATCCCATTGAGATTTAAGAATACATAAAACGTTTATGCGTATACTATAAGAGAGTAAAGGCTCAATCGAATTAAATCTGAATATATATCTTGCCAATGTGAGTCAACACAGTGTGTGTATATATTAATTCAACTATACAACGTACACCCTGTGTGAATGTATTATAATTAATAAAATAATAAAAATTGTGTATACATTTATGAACTGCGTTTTTATGTGATCTTATAGATTGTATTTCCTTTTTTTTTTTTTTTTGAATCGAA